AGTGCTGGGATTACAGACACGAGCCACCATGCCTCACCTTATCAAGTTTTTCTTTTATACTTCATGGTTTTTGTGATGTCAAGAATTTTTTTCCAAATCCAAGAATTTTAAAGATTTTTCTCCATTGCTTTCTTTCAGAAGTATTATAGTCTATAATGTCTTGGTAATAGCTTCACTAACAATCTCTTATTCTTAAGTTTCTTATTTATGAATTTCCGATGACACTACGTATATTGTTTTTAATCTTCTTTTCTACTCATGTACAAATTGACCTAAGAGGCTAATGGAACAAAGTACATGAAATCAAGATTGTGCTAGAAATTCAGGTTGTATCATTACCAAATTTATGCTTCTCTCCCATCTCATAATGTAGTTTTCGAGAAAAAAATAAGAATTTTTTGAGTAAGTAACATGCTAAACACTGCTTTTGTTTTTGTTGTTGTTTTTGGTTTTGATGGAGTCTTGCTGTTATTGCCCAGGCTGGAGTGCAATGGCGTGATATCAGCTCACTGCAACCTCTGTCTCTCCAGTTCAAGCCATTCTCCTACCTCAGCCTCTCAAGTAGCTGGGATTACAGGCATGTGCCACCATGCCCGGCTAATTTTGTATTTTTATTAGAGCCGGGGTTTCACCATGTTGGTCAGGCTGGTCTCGAACTCCTGACTTCAGATCTGCCCGCTTCTGCCTCCCAGAGTGCTGAGATTACAGGCGTGAGCCACCATACCTGGCCTACACTGTTTTTAAATATGTATATATATATTCCTACAGAGTTGGAGGTCTTGCTATATTGCCCAGGCTGGTCTCAAACTCCTTAGCTCAACAGATCCTCTCACCTTAGCCTCCCTAGTTGCTGGGATTATAGGCATAAACCACCATGCCCAGCTCCCCAAACACTGTTTTGTGACTTTTATATTCAAAGTATAAAGTACATTATTTTATACTAAAATTATTTGATATGATTGGTTCTATTATCTGTCTGTCTCTTCTTTTAGCAGATGAGAATGTTGTATCATAAATAAATTGAACAACTTTTTTAGGTCATCTAGCCAGCTCTGTTTAATGTTAGAGTCCATTCTCTTAATCACTACCAATAGTAGCTAATAAATAATGGCTGCTTACTGTGTGACAGATACTGTGCTAAATTCTTTACAGGTATTAACTAATTTAATCTTTAGAACAAAGTTACAGGTAGGTATTATTATTATGCCTCTGTACAGAAGAAGAAACTAAAATACAGGGACCCAGGTGTCACAACTATTAAAAGCAGAGCAGGATTTGAATCCATGCAATCTGGCTCCTGAGACTTTTCTGGTAACCATCACACTATACTGTGTCTCCAAGAATAATTAATGGTTGTATTTATTGGATAAATCAAGTGGATGGCCCACAGAAGTCTCTGCCTCCAACAACTTTTTGAAATGAAAGATAGTTTCTATTTAATGCTCACCTTGCCATCTGACCCCATTGATTTGCTATTGTACTGCTCTTGCTCTGTTTTCCCACTGTGCCTTACAGTAATAATAAACAGAACCATGTGTGCCAATGCGAGAGGCCAGGGGAGATGAGTGCCTCTGTAAGTAGCAGGAGCCTTGGCCGGTACCTCAGCTTGAGCCAGGCCCCTGGGAAGAGAGTAGCGTCACCTGGATTCTCTAATCCATTTGTGACAACTGCTGGCTTCCTAAAGGAGAAGGCAGGGCCAAAAGAGGCTTTCGAGAGGAACATTTAGGTTGCATGGAGCTTTTCTCATAGCCCACCTGGAGTGTGAGACAGTAGTGTATAGTGTAGAGAGATATTTGACTTGGGCTGGAGTCCTGCCTTTGTGCTTTAATTTTTTTGACTTTGTGCAAGTTTTGACAACCCATTTCACTTAGTCCGTTTTTTATAAATGGGCTAAGACCAACCTCCTTTTGATGATATAAGTAGGTTCATGTAGTAAAAAAGATAACATCTACCATTTATTAAGTGCCTCTTTGTGTCAGATACTCATACCACTTTATATGAGTTAACTCAATTAACACTAACCACAGCATAAAATAGGTGCTATTATTATCATCATCATTTTACAGGTGAGAAACAAAAGTATAAACAAAAGTATAGACAACTACGATCTTTATCCATAGTCACTGAGCAGCAACCAGAGAAGCTGAAGCATGAGACTAAACAGCCCAACTCCCAACCTGTGCTCCTAAACACTGGCATTTACTGAACTTACATAAATAAGTATATATATATATATATATGAAGTAAAATATATATGCATATGAGGTAAAATATATGTGTGGGTATACACACAGATATATATAATATGTATATATATACATATTATATATACATATTTTATATATATACATATTATGTATATACTTTTTTAAACAGGAAAAGCCTTATCTAACACCCCCGCCCCTGGCTTTTTTTTTTGAGATGAAGTCTTGCTCTGTTGCCCAGGCTGGAGTGCAGTGATGCTATCTTGGCTCACTGCAACTCTCAGGCTCAAGTAATTCTCATGCCTCAGCCTCCCGAGTAGCAGGGATTATAGGTGTGCCATCACACCTGGCTAATTTTTTGTAGAGATGGGGTTTCACCATGTTGCCAGGACAGTTTTGAACTTCTGACCTCAAGCAATTCACCCACCTTGGCCTCCCGAAGTGCTGGGATCACAGGCGTGAGCCCCTGAACAGGACATTTCTAACTTTTTCTTTGGGAACTTGTGTGCTATAGCTAAATTTAAGGAATCTGGGATGACCTGATGACAGTCCTTACCCAGGTCTGGACTGGTAGGTCTAGGTCCTAGTTTTGGCTCTGGCCAGCTTTGTGACCTTGGGCAAGGCAGTTTCACCTTCCTGAGTCCCACATTTCTCCTGTGTAAAATATTGAGGGGGGTGTACTAGTTAATTTCCAAAGCCCTTTCCAGCTCTCACATTCCTTATGTCTATGATTCTGTGATTAAGTTCCTGGAAGGTTAAGTACTGATAAAAGTGCCATTAAGATCTGTATACTCAGCACTGGCAGCCGTCTGTTACCTAAGATACCTGGGCCCAGCAGTTATAGGGTGGGGGCTGGGGACAGGGTGGGTGGACGAGAAAGGCTCCTTGTCTGACAATCGTGTGTATTGACTGTAGACAGCAGAGGACTGCCCAGCACTGTGCCGTGAAACTGAGTATCCTCTGATTTCTGGGCTGTGATCTACTAAGGCTGACCATCAAAGGCTGTTTCCAACAAGAGAACCTTGTGCAGTAAGTTCCTCAGGCAAGAAGCAAGATAATTGAGACAGGATTGAATGGCTCTCAGGCAGAGAAACTTGGGGGACAGATCAATGTAACTGATGAACTGGTTGACCCAAGGCCTCTCTGTCTATCATTTTTTTGACCTCAGGTCAGAGCAATAGAAAGGGGGAAAGCTCCCAACACAGCTCCTGCCATGAGGTCCTGGAGAAGAATAAGTGACTGTTTGTCCCACATGTTTAGTCATTCACCTGCCTGAAGGCAGAGTGCTGGGAGTCTGGAGTCCATGACCTGCTGGGATACACTTTGGGCTGAATTTTTTTCCCCTTCTAATGTCTCAGCTCTCAGGGATCTGCTTTTCCTGGTGCCAAGCAGTATGGGTAAAATTTTATCCCTCCTCCATGCACCCCTACAAAACAAATATGATGAGAAGTTAATATTTTCCAAATGGTGACCTAACCTTTGTTTATTAATTGAGCTCCTATTGCCTTCCAGGTACTGTTAGAAACCAGCAAGATACCTAGATGACTGAGACAGAGTCCTTGCCCTCCACGAAGTGACTGTTCATTATAAAACCCTAAAAAGCTAGTTCTTAGAGGCTACTGCAACAGCAACAACCCTGTGTGAGTGTGAGTGCTTATCATATGCCAGGCTCTGGTTACAGACTTTTAGCTCTCTCACTGGAAAGCTCACTCAGGAAAGCGCCTGAGTGCTGGCTTGGCCGCCCCATGTCTGTGTGACTGTGGGCAAGTCATTTACCTTCTTTTTGAATTTCAATGTCTAAAACTGTAATCTGGGGATAATAGATGCAAAACAGCTTAGAAGTATATACTTTTTAATGACTCTTTTTAGTGTCAATGGAGGATTTCTGAGCACATGCATACAAAGCACAAGGCAAACAGGAGGTATTTAGTAAGTGGCACTGTGATTATTGATAGAGTATGGGTTTCTTCCTGTTCCTCCAGGGCAAGACTGACAGGTATCCTATTACCCTTGCCTCTTCAGAGCTTAGAGCAGAGCTCTGAAAACAGCAGGTGCTCACCCACTGTATATGATCAAAGGCACTCTCCACAGGGAAAGTCAGATCATCATGGGTATTTATGAATTACAAAATCCATAAAGTTAAACCAGGAGAAATGAACAAAAACACACTAATCGTAGAGGTCCTTAATGATACCTTGGCTCATGGCAGAGCAGCTGGACAAAAAAAAAAAAAAAAGAAAAGATTCAGAAGCCCTGAAAAAATAATGAATACAAAGAAAATCAAATCGATACAGTATTCTGTCTTCACATTGGGAAGACAGAAACACCTTCTTTCAAGAAACCATGGTACATTGACAAAAATAACCACAGATAATCCTCAATAAATCTTGAAAGGAGGCAGTACAGATGACATTGCATTCAGTGAAACTACAAATTTAAGACAAAAAGGCAAAGTATAAATTACTTGTGTAAGAACTCTCTCAACTCTTGGGTCTAAGAAGAAATGAAAAGGGAAATTGTATGATAGCAATAAATGTTCCATTACCCAGAGTCACACAGATAACAGTGACAGAGCTGAGGCTGCTAGAACCTGGGTCTCCTACCATCCAGTCACGAACTGGCTTGAGATCCCGGACAAGTCTCTCTGAGCCTCGATTTCCCCTTCTGTCAAGTAGCCCTGAAGGTCCCCCGGGCTCGGTTCGGTGGTGAGTTTGAGGCGTGTGGGGGAGGCGGGGGGAGCGTGCCCGAGACGCGAGAGCCGCTACTGCTTTCTGCGAAGTCGGGGAGGGTGCGGGCGTTGGGAGGCGGCAGCAGAGGGCGCTGGGTCGCCGGCCTGGGCCGCGTATGCCATTGGTCGGGGCTGGGGCGCTGGGTTGGAGAGTTGGTGGAAAGTGACAAGTTGAGCGAGAGAGGGAGCGCGGAGAGCGGGAGCAGCCGCTGCCGCTGCAGCCGCCGCCGAGGTAGCCCAGGGACGGCAGCCCCTGAGCGCAGGGTGCGCTCTTCTGGGAGTCCAAGCCGGAGCCACTCACACCCGCTGGTGCGACCCGGACAGCCCGATACTGACCCGCAGACCCAGGCGAGGCTGCGCTCGCGGCATCCAGAGGCGGCCGGGCGGAGGCGAGGGAGCAGGTTAGAGGGACAAAGAGCTTTGCAGACGCCCCCGGCGTCCCGCGAGCGCCAGCGACCGGGACGAGGCTGCCAGGAGCCCGGGGAGAGCCCGTGGATGTTCTGCGCGCGGCCTGGGAGCCGCCACCGCCGCCGCGAGAGGAGGAATGCACCGGCCGCGCCGCCGCGGGACGCGCCCGCCACTCCTGGCTCTGCTGGCCGCGCTGCTGCTGACCGCGCGCGGGGCTGCTGCCCAAGGTAAGAGGCGCCTGCCGGCCCCCGCCAGCCCCGACCCCCTGGCCCGCGGCCACCCTCCCGTCGGCCAGCCGGGCGAAGGACACGCAGGAAGCGCCGCGCTGGCTCCGGGGCGCGTCCGGCCACCCGCCACGGGGCTCGCCAGCGCCGCCAGGCCAGGGTTTGCCCCGGAGCCCCGCGGCGGGCCGGGGAGCGCCCAGGGACTCGTTCCTCGGCGCACAGCAGCGGTTGTCAGAGCTGACAGGAAGCGTGGAGGGGTTTGGGGGTCCTGGGGTGAAGGGGGCACTTCCGTGCTGGGCGTCCCCCCATGTCTCCCCGGACCCCTAGCGCGCCCAGCCTGTGCTCAGGCAAGTCTATCCTGCCCCCAAATTGCAAGCCGGCCCAGAAGGCGCGGTCCAGGAGGGAATTTGGATGTTCAGTGGTGCCCGCCAGAGCCCAGGCGGCTCGCTGACCGACGCAAACAAAAGCCCGGTCCTCCTGGGGCTCCGGCGGCCTCGCATCGCCACCGATCCCGGCCCTCCGGCCCTCCCGAGGGTCACCATGGAGTCCAAAACGTGTGCGGCGCTGCGGCCGCTGCCACTTTGTGCAAAATGTGCTGTCAGAGGCGACCTGCGGCTCCAAAGTGCTTTGGGTGTGCACGCGCGCGCGCGCGCGCGTCTGTATGCGTGTTACAAACAAGAGGGGGAAAAGCCATCTAATGCATACTTGATTTTGGTAATCCCCAAAGACAATCGCAACGGTTAGAGAAAGACTTCACCGCAAGCCCCAGCGTCTTAGTTCGCTGCGGGAAGCTGGGGTCCTTGCTGCGTCTGAGCGGGTACACAATGAGAGGGAAGAGCCCGGCTGCGCCTGTGGAGACAACCGATTCATTCTTTGGAGGTTGGAGGGGGAAAGTTGATTAAAGTCTCCGGGGTCTCGGGCCTCACTTTTAACATGCATCCCTTGAGGGGGCGAGGAGCCCTTGCATTCTGCCCTCCCCCACTCCCAGCCCTAAACCTGAGCTGATAAATAGGTCTCTGCTCTTTTATCATGCATCTTTCATTTTTAAGTTAGCACTGTGTTTAGGAAAAGAAAAGGCTCTGCACTACTTAGCAGTTGAGGGGAGAAAGATGTATTCCTTACAAGACCACGAATACAGAATTAGTTTTTTCTAAAAGTTAGCTGCCTTTCTTGGTAGAAAACACTCTGGAAGGAAGTTGTGTGTGAATTTTGATTTCTTGGAGATGGTTTTTGGGAAGCTAGAGTAGCATTTTCTGAGGATGATTTCTGAAACTGATCCTACAATGTGGTCGTGCTAATCTGGAAGCTCCTGGGGGTAAATAGGGCTTCTAATTGTAATTAAGATGTACATCAGCAGGGAACGTACCTTCCTGATGAAAAATCCTAATGAAATGTAAACAGCTTGGTCACACAGATGTTTTGCTCGGTGATGCCAAACATCTGGCCCTGCGCCACAACACCTGGGTGAAAAGTAAAAATGGGGCATACTGCCTATGTAATGTAAACATCCTTCTCAAGTTGGATTGCCCAGCAAATTGAGGTGGAGATAAGCAGGGTGATTCTAAGATGGGACTTTGATTAATTCAGTTATTTCCTCTGTGGACTCCTTTACTTTGTACTTAACCTTTCATCAGTGGTTGCTTTCAGATCATAGCCCCTTGGGGAGGTGGGGGTCTCTTGCCTTTAAATAAATGGCCCTGCAATGATTTCCCTCACTGTAAGGAACCATTGTTATCAGCAGCCACCCCAATTCTGTCTCCTTTGACTTTTTACAGCCTTTTAGAATTGTTTAAGAAGGGTATTTTCTATTCCATACTCTTTAGTAGTGAGCTTAAATCTGCTATTACTCTTATTTGTTGTTTTATAAATACCTTTCCATTTCTGTGAATGTTCGGTTTTTTTCTCTGGGGTCAAGACTTCTGGTGGAACTGACATTTACTTTCTCCTCTTGGATTCAAGGTTCCTAAGGTAGCCCAGCCAGTAGCTCAGGAAATCAGCTTAAGGGGAGATATGTTTCATGTATTTATTTTAAAAGATACGAAGCATTTCTCCCATCATTTTTCTATTTTGTTAGCTAGGAGAAGAAAACCTTTAAATTTGTTTTTTTCTGGTCTGTCCATTGATTTCTTATCTACCTCCCTCCTATGCAAAGCTCTACTTCTTTAAGAACCTGAAGCTTACCTTATAACTGCACCCAAGCCCAGGGCTTTAGGAACCTACCTGGCCTGTCTCAGAATCCTGTAGATTCTGTGGTTTGGCTGCTTGGAGCCAGAGGGAGGTGGCCTGCTACTGTGTTTGCTATCATTTTGTAAATCTTCCACTGCCATTTAAATAGGTGCTTGTCTGTACTTTTAGAATAGGAGTCTCTTGAGGGCAATAAGACTGTCAGCATTTCCAGTGAAAACATTGAGAACCCAAGTCCACTTAGTCCCAACTTTATTAGAGATGCCTGAAAATCTTCCCTGCCTGGCTAGGAGGAGCCACACCAAGGTGGGATGGACAAAGGGTGTGGTCAAACTGTCTCCATCAGTTTTGGAAATATTTAATTTCCAATATTGATTCAGCATACCTGGTGGGCTGTTTTGCTACTCTGATGCCTGGGATTATCTGCCTGATATTTAGTTAGGGATCAGCTTTGCCCTATAGCATCCTTTCTCTTCTGTATCATGAGACTAGGCCCCCAGTTAGACTTTTGGAAAGTTTCTAAAAGTGTCACTTGCTCTGAAATTAGTATCAAGTTTGGCTGTGGTTTGACAGTGAACATCTACCCGATTTCAAATATCTTTTAAAATTGTACACAGCATCCTATGGAGAATGGAACACTTTGTAAGCTATATGTACTTTGATGTAAATGAATATGTACAGATAGATGGCATATATATATATACACACACCCACATATATATATGTGTACACAAATACATATACAGTAAGTGGTCCTAGATTTTTGTTGAATGAGTGGAGAATAAATTTTTGCTTGTATGCAAAATTCTGATATTTGCTTTGCTCAGTAAAAATGCAACATGGCATATTTTCAGGGATTTTTCCTTTTCTTGTCCGATCTTCTAGTATAAAAGAAAGTGTAGCAGAACTTGACAGTACAGCTTAAGGGTTTCAAGTACAGGCTTTGGCATTTAACAGACCTGGATTTGAATCTGTTCTCTTTTGTATAATGGGTATGTCAGTTGGTTTTTCTGAGCCTTATGAGAGTGTTATGAGATTTAAGTGAAGCCATGCCTGGAGAGAAGCACCCAGCCTAGAAGTGAGTGCATGAAATTAACTTGGGGTACATGAAATTAAGCATATGTGAACTCCCAGAAATAATATAGAAAATTTTATGTGCATTTTTACGGTTCTGTATTTATAGCTATAGCTATAATCTGATTTTTCCAAGAAAAGTGTCAACCCCTGAAAGATAGGAACTGCTGACTTGGAGTGTTTGATGCCTGAAGCAATAGGTTTGCCTTCCTGGAGAGGTTGAAAGGGGTTGAGTGTTGGTGGCCACTTCTAGGCCTTATCCCAGGTTAGCCTCTACCTCTCATTTCCCAGTTTCCCTTCCACCAGGCAGGCTGTTAACTGGGCCTGAGAGAAGCTGAAGAATGGTGCCAGTCCTTGTCACCTCAACTAAGAAAATATATCCCTGAATCCAAGCACTCTGAGATGCAGTTTGTGCAGTTTATTTAACAAACACTTATTTAATCCTTACAATGGGCCAATCACTCTTCTAAGCCTTTTGCAAGTGTTAACTCACTGAATCCTCACAACTCTATAAGGGAGATGGCATATTAGCTCATTTTACAGACGGATAAAGAGAGGTTAAGTTACTTTCTTTAGATTACACTGCTAAAAAGTGGCATTACTGGGCTTATAAGCCTTAACAGTTCATGCTGTTACTTTAATGGCTGTCCTAGACATTATCTCCTTGTTTAATTCTTACAATTTACGTTCTTGTAATGTATGGAACAAAGGTTGTATTTCCCAAAGTTTTCCAATAGCAGCAAAGGGAAGCTTGCTTAGCCATGATCTAGAGGTTATAAGAAATTATTAGAGACAGCCAATTTCAATTTCCTTACAGTGCTGGAGCTCCCTAAGACGGTCTTGCTGAAACTCAGAGATAGACTGGAAGCACCTTGTTGGATGGCCTGGACCTCTGGTTCTGGAAGAATTACATTTTTGTAATGAGCTTCAACTTTGATGTGGTTTGAGAAGTGTGCTTGCCAGTTCCTTCCACCTATCAGTGAGATATATTTTGATGAAATGCCTTTGTATTTGCATCTTGGTGGACAACTGTGGTTGTAGGGTAAGGAGGGGGTGATTTACTAGAGGGCTGTCTAGTGGGACAGCCAGCTTGCCAGCTCAAGGTCCCAGTGAGGACCAGACCCTGGCAAATCCAGCCCCAGCTGAGAAACACTCAAGTCTTCAAGGCCTCTTTCTCAAACAGAAGGGCCTCAGCCTGGCTTCACCCATTCCCTGGGGTGTGACAGGAGAGACTGTTCTCTAGACACTCGAAGAGAAAGGAGAGTCTGAGAAAGTTCTCTGGAGTTGAAGGGGGAAGGGATAGGGGCAACTCTTCGAAAATCCTTAACTAAATGCAGCTGCTTGTTACACGGAGACTGACTTGCATGCCAGGAATATCTAAAAAGCTAACGAATACAAAATAAAAATAAACAGCAGTAAAAAGGCTCTCTCTTTGTTGCAGTAAGCTCGGTTGGGGTTTTCAGTTTGTTTAGGAATGGGATAATTGTGGCATCCACTTTATTTTGGTAAAGCAGTGAAACGTGGATTAATGTTATGTCATTGGGATGTTACCACCACCTGAACTCTTTCCTTCATCCCCCCTTCCGCAGCTGCACCTCCCAGAACACCCAGGCATGGACACCCATAGGGCCTGAGTCCCAAACAGTTGCCCCTGAGTGAATTACACTGGAAGAGGGCAGATAATTTAATGGGATAATCTTGGCAGGGCCAGCAAATTTCACACCTCATCTCTCACTAATAGAAAG